TGATTAAAACCCAAACCGAGACTCCCAACTCTTCCACACGGGCCTTGAGCAGCGAATCCGAGCTGAACGCGAATTGATAAACCTGCAGGCATGTCGTCTGCCCACCTGCAGCAGGTTAGTCTTTGATATTTAGGGCTACCGCAGAGAAACGTAAAACATCGGGCTTTGCGTACATTCTCGCACCCTGCCTACAAGAAGTCCTGCATGACCCTACAGGTATGTCTCTAACGCGGTAGGCCTGGGGGAGCTCGGGTAGTTTTCGCAGTGCCCGCTCACGCAGGAAAGACATGAGTGATAGTCTAAACTCCTTAAAGGGAGGTATATATATCTATATATTTATATATATGGGCTTCAATAGGGGAGGGTTCCTAAAAGGGGGATACTAGGAGTTTAGACTGTAGCTCACATGAATACTCAACTTCAGACCGTGTCAGCCGAGGGACGGCTACGCTAGCAACACGTCCGAGGACCTCTTTGAGTAGGATAAGGGAAATTAGAGGCATGATCTAGGGTTATGAAGGGACAAATGGAAAAGAAAAGGGAAACTACTGTATAATGGGGTTATATAGGGGATATATAAGAATTATGTATGGGTTATATAGGGATAAGGGAACAGAAGATGGAAGCTACCATTAAGGGTTTAGGGTTTGGGGTTTAGGCGCGTTCCCCGCAGGGCACTCCCCCAAAGAGAACCTGCAGGAAAATTTCAGCCTGCGAGAGAAGCTATGCGGGAAAGGCCATAAAACTGCGTGTGGACGACTTCTGTTCTGTTTGGCGAATCCTACTCTATGCCCGCACCTCTGGCGACTCTGGGAATAGACAAGCCCATGTTTTGAGTGTCATATCCGCTGTATGTAAATTCCCGGCAAGGGTTTAGGGCGAGCAGCATGTAGGGGCCAGATGACTTGAGTAGGCTTCTGGGTAGCTTTAGTCTTCTCACGTGGAGGTTGCACCTGACTGGCAACGTCAGGAATACTGCAAGCTCCCAAACTACGGTCGTCCGCTTTCCCTTTTGGATGTTTATCTGGGTAAGCTGTGCTGATGCTTCCATCATCGCTAGGACCAAACAAGTTTGTGTATGTATCCATGCTGGGGGCACAAGGTGACCCGGCGTCTGAAATCGATGGTGGGCCACACAAGACGACCGCGCTTCGGCCCAAGGGGAATTGAAATTGGCACACTTGGACGAATCACATGGTCCAAACGTTATGTGGCAGGTTTTGGACAGGTTGGTGGTGCTGCTTCACAGTCAACAGACCCGTGCAACATGCATCCTCTGCATCGTGCTCCCGCCAGTCCCCTCCATGCGCATGTTGATTCGAACGTAGACCTGTCGTGGTTCTGGCCTCACAACACGCGAGTGTTTGCGGAGCATTTCCCCTTCCCCAGTCTATGGGATGAGAAGATCCTGAACCAATATTGCTGAGGGGCTTAGTCTTCTCGAGTCGTGGGCTTAAGGCATAGCTTAGGATGGCACAGGGTTCAGGATGGCCCGGTTGGCTGGGTGCCACCTGATGTAAGCCGATGGAAATTTCGACTTGATGGTACGATCCCGTGTTCTGCGGAAATACAATTCAAGCTGTCAAGGCCGAAAAACAGACATTGGGATAATGAAGGCGCTGGCGGGATGGGTTGCGCGTTTTACATTAACTGCAGGCCTTGCCTAACACTCAGCCTGCGTATAGCCCTAGCCTAAGAACTCAGCACGCAAGGTTAACAGCACATGGTCAGAATACGGAAACCGTAAGACTAATTTCAAGGCACTGCCTCAATAAGACTGTGTACCCAACCAAACTCACAGCAGGGTTTTTGCTCGTAAGCCCCTCTAAACTTGTACCATTTTCCATGACATCCTTTATCCCTTAAGAACCAGGAAGTGAATCTGGCCCCAGAATGCAATGAAGTAGTAATGGGGGATTCCCATAAAGGGGGATCTATGGCAATATGAGCTATAGTCTAAACTCCTAGTATCTTCCTTAATAACCCCTATAGTAGTCCCCTATATAATCCCCTATATAATCCTCTTTTAAGGAGTTTAAACTATGGCTCATATAGGGTGATATAGGGTTTAGGGTTTTATTGGTTGACCAAAACTTGGAGAGCCACCTGCAGGCTCTGTGATAGGACTTCTGCGTCTGAGCTGTAACGCAAATCTCCAGATGCGGATGGCGTTGTCCCACAAGTCCTTGGTTCATGCTGCTCATGGAACAAACCCAGCACCGTCCAGAAAATGTTATCGCGGAGAATATGGCAATATTTTTTGGACGTATGGCACCTGGAATATAGGCCGTCTCCCGACAGTAGGTGTGAACTCTCTCTCTCTCTATGTCTATATCTCTGTCTCTCTCTCTGTTCGTCATCTGTTCGTCGTCTGTTCGTCATCCCATACTGCACCACGGCTGTGATTTTGCAGTCGGCTGATGATCGAACTCTGTGGCTGCTAATCTTCGTTTGGGACAGATCAGATGGTTTAGCCAAGGGATCCGATCCATGTCATACCTCTCAAGTGGAATTGTGCCTAGAAGCCCGACAGGTACCTCTTCTCCCCACGCCCTGCAGAACTGCATCAGACGCGGAGGCATGACCCAAATAGTGCTAGGAAGGATTCAGGCTTGGACGTTCGCAGCTCCTTCTGAGTAAGGCCCAGAGATATGAACATTTCATCTTATATGACAGATGCCACCCTAAACCCTAAGCCCTGGATTCTCAGATGTGACCACCTCATTCATCAAAGCGTGCGTGCCTTTGGTCCCATCATGGCGACCGACCCCAGTCCATCTAATTTACCTCTGTTTAGCAAAGGATGCACGAATTTTGTAATGGACCCTATGTAGTCCCAATTCATGTTGTAGTTTGCATGCTCTTTTCCATCCTCCTGTGTCTTACTGCGTAATCCCTGTCGAAGCCTACTCCAAGTGTCCATTTCATTTTCCATCTGATTCTCCTAGATAATAGTTTTCATGTTCTTTTTCCATTTCTTCATTCCCTGCACAACCGCGCTAAACCCTATACATCCCCTTCCCCACTTAGCATTTCACTTCCCAGATGATTCTCCATTCTTGGGATAATCCCCCGAGATAAAACCAGAGGAACGTTCAGAGCTAAACCCCTGTACAAAAAGCAGTGTCCACTTCATTGCCCATGTCCTTTTCCATTGGGATTATCCTTTAGTATTGGGGTAAGAATGTTTCCCATCTATACTACTGCAATCTGTTCCGAGTCCATCTAGGGCGCCGGCCTAGTATGATGGGCTTCACTTCCCGAAAGTCCACAACTAGGAGCACCATGTCGTCGGGCTTCACTCCGGCAAGCCAGTTGAAGAATCCTGTGGATGGATGCCCCCATAGACACACTAGGAGACACCAAGCCGCCATCCTCAACTCTTAGCTAGTCCCCTCTGGTATGAATCTGGGATACATCGGGGAGCGCCCAACCTCCGTGCTTTTTGAGAAGAACCAATGGGAAACCACATTCCTCCACAAAGCTCAAACTTGAAAGCCATGATGCCCATGATGGAATGAGCTGACAATGGCTTGATGCGGGTGATAGTCATGAGCGGCTAATCCCTGTGGTTCCTGATTAGGATGATGACGCTCACAAGTGACCCTGGCTCAGCCTGGCTCCTCGGCAATCTGTGACACAAGCCCGCAGGTTGCTTCATGCTCGGCTTTCTCGCAATGCTCGAAGCACAAAACCATCCAAGTCTGCTTGCGTTCCTCGGTGGAGTTACAATCTGTTTGGCTTTAAACCTTAAGAAACTTGAGTTCTGCGGGAGTTTGCCTACATTCAGTGCTACCGAAATGGAAGAGTATCCGTACTATCCTGCTTATGTCCCCTCTATGCATACAATTATCACAAAAATGTTGCTAAGTCAGTCCATACTCTGGTTCTGCCATGGCCACGGCTCGAGGTCTACCACTACCTCGCATTCGCTTTGAACCTGGTGACTGCACCTGTCGAAGGAAGGTTTTGGGTAATAATACTGATCGTGATATTACTAATACTATTACTACTGACAATAAGTACAATGATAGAATAGCAGCATATAATGATACAAACATAACAGTAATTAGTAATAACGATAGCAATAGCAGTGCTCTAGTAATGTTCGCCTAGCTGATGTAAAGGGGGTGGTAATACTGAAATTCCACTGTTCAGAGAAAATCCTGAGATTTAGGACTTCTAGTTTGATTGTAAGTGCGCACCTAGAAGTTGCTTGATATGCCCTATGCACTTGTTGGGCGGTCAGGGGGTGATGCTAAAGGGTTGTTGTAATGAAAACTCGCCGGCCTAAAAACCCAGACAAAACCCTGGTTCGCACTTGAAATCAAATCAAGAGTTCCTACTCTTACTCCTACTCTGAGAGAGCTCAGGCCTCAGGGTGTTTATTACAACCCCCAATTTCCTCTCTTTGTTTCGAGATTGGTCCAGTCAGCCCGGAACTTTGGGGGCTTATAACGAGCCCAACATTACTAGTTAAGCGGGGTCGGAAGGGGCACTGAAGAAGATTCTGGCACGCTGTAGGTTCCTGTTGACTGGAGCACCTAAAGAAAACATGGCGGGGTGTAGTTGCCACGAAAGGAGAAAGACGCCGGCAGGGCTTGTTTGCGACCGACAGCTATGCCCTATGCCCTACCAGAAGCACGATCCCTACCAGACACGTCCTGGGGCCATCAACATAAGAATTCAAGAGATGGACTTGCAGTGACCACTGCTGCAATGCAATCAACATGCTCGCTCATGAAATGGCAGAAAAGAAGAATAGGTTCATCCATTATCAAAACAAGGTAGGTTTTGAGCATGAAAGAGATTCCGGTAAACCTGCCCGGCGTGCTCGTCGTCGAGACGCTGGAAATGCCACTGCAGATGCCGGGGCTCCGGGATTGATTATACAGGGGTGCAATGAAGGATATCCCTGCGGCATATAAGCCCGACCCTGCATGTTGATGCATGCCATGGGGGTCGGCGCGCAGCCAGTTTGTAATGCTTGGTCAAGCAACGCTCCAAGTAGTTCTTGAAGCCGTTCTGGTACATAAACCTCATCCGAAAGGGGGGCCCTCAAGGTTCCCTGCGGAATGCTACCAGTTTACAAGTTGCGTTCTCGAGGTACATGTCAAGTTCAGACTCTGCGAAAACACGTTCATCTCTGCGGACATGCTGAGAACGGAGTTACAAAGGACGGCACCGATACTTTAGCATCATCTTGATGTGGCACATGTGCACAGGTCCCTTGGAAGGACACCACTCCAAACTTTTCTCATCTGAGGGTACTATTTGGCATGGACACTGTCATGTCCCAAATGATTGAGTTATATCCAAGAACTGCCCAACCTCCCTTTCAGGAGTTTAGACGCTGACTCTCATGTGTTCCGGAAGAATCCCTCTACATAGCCTGAAAACCCAACACACATTAGGGCCCGCGTAACGATAGAAACCCGAGCACGGGGACCCATACTCCTCTGATCTCGGCAAGCTCTAGGGTACACAGGGGCGCAAAGCTTAGGAGTTTAGGAAGACTCCGGATATAGCAATGACATAACTCGGGGCACCCTTATCTAGGCCCAAAAAATTCCTGTAAAAACATTAGTTGGCCCCCAAAATGATACCCCCAATTTCGGCAACCCCCGTATCACCACTAAGTTAGGACAGGGATCTTCGCAAGATCGTGCGTTGCCGGATCCGTGTTCTCTGACACGAATCCCGGAATAAAGTCTTCTTGGGGCCTGGATGCAAATTGTCTCTGCATATAGTCCCCCGTGAGTAGATAGAATATGGCTTTGGGTATATTGTAGTAAGATCCCCATATACCCCATATTCTATCTATTCTGGGGGGGGACTATAGTTTGCTGCGAGTTCTTCGGTAATAACCTAAACCCTAAACCCTAAACCCTTATCCCTAAACCCTTATCCCTAAACCCATATGGTTCTGGCTCTGATCATCAACGGTATCGCTAGCAAGAAGCAGAGGTCGTATGCTGTCACTGCTGTGGTCATGAGGGACGTCAACCCTTTTTTGCAACAGGCTTTCCGAGTCCGCCCGGTACTTCAACCCTAAACCCTAGACCTCAAATCCTAAAACCCGCAACCTTAAACCCTGAACCTTAAACCCTAAAAACCCTAAACCTCAAACCCTAAAACCGTAAACCCTAAACCTCCAATCCTAAAACCCTAAACCTTAAACCAGTACCCGAGCACAGCCAAAATAAAATGTCTGACATAAGCCTTTCGGGCTGAGGGGGAAGCTTTCTCTCGGGTTCATTGGGGTGACATGCCGTGGCCCTGTCCTGACATCTGCAGGCTTTATACTATAATATACTATGATATACCATAATATTTTATAGTATACCCTAATATATTATCATATACTGTAATATAGCATAATATACTATAATATCATGTCTTCTGGGCTACCAGTTGCGTCTGACGTTGCTGTGGAGATGCTCAAGGTAAGTTTTACGGGAAATCCTTTTCAATGTTGGGCAGTATGACTGTCCCGTTCTTCGGTTGTTGTTGCTTCTGAATTTGCTGCTGACGTTGCGCGCTCTCCTCCCATATACAACCCTACCACACTTGTTTGGGAGAACGATCTTGTGATCAGTTATAACCAAGACTTTGGAGATGGATCGCGTCCTGCCTGCACACAAAGCTCATTTCTGATGTCAAAGTATCAGCTGAGGCACTTGATGGGAAGGCCTGTGAAATGGCGGTTCTGCAGGTTCAGTATGAGGCGATAGTTGTGGTAGTCTTTCCTTAGACAGTTCTTGCAATCCAGCTACTGCGTCGGTCGAAAAGGTTCTGGGGAGCCCTCTTCCAGGTGCTCTACTCTGCCCCAGGTTTTGCATGTTTGTTTGGGACAAGTGCCAAGCACTACACATTCCAATTTCAGCTGTGCATTTGTTAGGGGCATGGCCGAAAGAACTTCCTTGACACGCTTGGTGGGGAGTACAATCATACATGCTTCCAACGCACGAGCGCCGATCCTGTAACAAGAGACAAGGAACATACCAAGGAGAGATGCTGCTTTGCCATTTTGAAATATATTTACAAGACCGGGCCAATTCACTGCCCTGGTCCAACACACTGCCCTACTTGGCAGGGGTCTACTGATAAGGATCACAGCTCATCAGATTTCAGATTCCACCAATTTGGCCACAGTGTCTTGGACATTCCTCACACAACACAGAGACGCCCATCTGTCCCCCAATGCGAAGTTCAGCTCAGATTCTTCTTCAGGTACGAAACAATCTTGTTTCTCAGCATCGCCTGCAAGCTGGAAGCAGCAAGGTTTTCAACCTGTCGAAAGCAGCCACGAAGGTTGAAAGCCATGCTCCCTTCACGAATAAAAATCATGAGGACAACTCTCTCATGCTGGCTGGGCTCACGCATCCTATCGACCTAGCCGCTTAAAATCCCTTGGCAAAAGCTCAGAAGTGCCGGAAATGATTCATCTGGGGCTGGACAGAAAAGCCAGCAAAACTGCAGAAGCTTTGGATGAGATCCACCCGTAAAGTCTTCAGACCCAAATCCTTGTCATCGTCAACCCTAAACCCTGTATCCTCAACCCTGGGCCCAAGCAGTCGCCATGAGCCGTTTACGAGACATGAAAAGGTTTGCAGTTCTCGGTAAACACATTACGGAACACTAGCGTTGTCCATTCTTCAGGGCAAACGCCCGTGGATAAGAAAGGAGCAATGAGCATAGCAACAGTTGCAAGAATAGCGATAGCTATGAGAAGCTTTAGGATGCTATCTGTTTGAATCTTGGGCACGTCCCCATGTGGATTATTCACAAGAATTTTGGCCCCGTTACGTTATAGACTATATTACGGCACCAATATTTAGGGGTACCAAGATGGGACCCGAATTTTGGGAACTACCCATCTTGGTGAGGCTTGAGGCTTCCAATGCGTAACGTTTATGGGCATAGACGCTTGGACTTGCACAGGGAAGTTTGGGCTTGGCTTGTCGGGTTGAGTGCCGAAGGGGTTTTGATCCAGCGCGGTTGAAGGCTTTCCGGATTAGAGCTTGGGATTCAAAGTTGGAAGGTTTAGAGGCTTATAGATCAGGCGTCTTAGGTGCCTTCCAGGATTCTCTTGCAGATTCCGCTTCAAAGCATAAAAATGCTGACTACAACTTTGAATTTGATACAATTCATTTGTTTGCCTCGGAATACAGTGCCAACTGACGTGGGTCTTCCAGGGCTTGAGTAGAACTCCAGGGCTGAACAGGGCATGTTGTGGCAATTTCCAAACGCAAGACGCCCCAAAATTGGACTTCCAATTACCATGATTCTGATTGTAAGCATACTTCCTGTAGCGGGCAGGGCCTGGAGCACAGGGGCAATCCTCTCACGATCCTCCTCCAACGTGAAGTAGCCTCGTGCTCAAGGGGCGTCGCGATATACAGGGATATATAAGGTTGTACAGGGGTGTTATAGAGATCATATAAAGATGAAAAAGGAATGCTACCCCTAGAAATGGAGAAGCAATTGAAAAAGAAAATGGACTGTGAAACGGCGCATATAGCGTTTCTTACGGGCACTGTGTACCGTAAGTGGTAAAAATAATGGCCCAGTCGGGTACATCATACGCCAAAATAGGGGACCATGATTATTAGCAATTATCTAGGCTTTCGGGTGGACAGCTTAAGAACACCTTCAAGGGCGTGAAATGCTTTAACGACAGTAGAAGAACAACAAAATAACGTCCTGCCCAATTTACTCAAGGACGCCCCAAAAGTACAGCGGTGGATGGGGGAAATCTTGTACCACTTAAGATCGCCAAAATACTCTAATTGTTGGGGTACAGGCTGTAAGAGGTGGTGTAAGAGTTCTTAGGGTTTAGGGTCTAGGGATTAGGGTTCAGAGGGTTCAGGGTTTAGGACAGTATTTCTACTCCTCCAGCCCAATCTTACCATGCATCATTATAGACGAGTTGGGTACTGCGCCCACCCATTAACAGTCTGCATCAGGGGTTATATCAATTGCTATATACAATTTGACTATAGACATTCTCCAACTGTTACAGAGTGAGGGCATCATCCGATGGATACTGGTTTCCCAGAGTAAGGGATGATTGGGGATCATGGGGGGATAAAGGGATATATTTCCCCAATAGTACAGAGACAATTGGAAAAGAAAATGGAAACGCAATGAGAACTACTATTTCGGGTTTAGGGCTGAGAGCTTAGGGATATAGTACCCCAACAATGGAGAATCAAATGGAAAAGAACATGGAAAATCAAATGGAAATCAAGGTCCCTTTGAAGGGTTATACAGGTATATATAGGGCACATACGGATATATTGCCCCAACAATGGAAAATCAGATGAAAAATGGAAGATCAGATGGAAACTGAGAGTATTTGTTGGGTTATAGGGATTAAGGTTTGCAAAGCTTGGGGATACCTTTCGGAGGGTCCCTATAATAATGGCTATAATACTTTGGGGCCTACAATTAGGGTCCCCCTAATAGCCCAGAATTGCTATCATCTATACAGGGACCCATTGGCAATGGTAGAGTTATAGGAATAATGGAAAAGAAAATGGAAACTACATTAGTATATTGGAGTTATATAGGTTTTAAGGTTTAGCGTTTAGGGATTAGGGTTTAGGATCAAAGTAGGAATATCCTCACGGATGATAAGGGCAGATCCGAAATACAAAGGACATTGTAAAACGCCATTTCTGGGATTGTAGACGTCAAGATATTCATTTCTCTGATTTCCTCATCAGACTATTGGGCAATTTGGCGGGTCCTGACGAATGGGGACAATGTGGGTGTTTCTGACAGAGGGACGCATAAACCAGAAACTCTCCATAGCCCCCTGAGGGTCTGCAGAGAGCTACGCGCGAGAAATGGTGGTTTCCATGTCGTTCTCCATTTTTCTGCTTGATTCCCCATTATTGGGTTAATGTGAGGGGTGTTCTAAATGCATTCTCCCGAAATCCCACCTTTCGCTGCGCCTTTCACGGAGCTTTAAGCGGTCTTTCACGTGCCCTATAAAACTATAATTTGCAATATAAAAAGTTTTTGTCCGTATGATTCATACGCCGGCTCCTTCAGAAGAACATGTCATGGATTTGGGGGCTTTGCACTAGGGAAGACATAGCCAAAGCAACCTTGTAAGGCCGATCTCAGTAATTCAAGATAATAACCGTTCAGAAACCCCTATGGCAAGACCTTTCGCGGACCTTTCGCACATCTTGCGCGCCTCGGGAAATCAAAACTGAGAACCCGTGATATGAACTCGGCTTATAACAGAGCAAGGGATTTAACACAATTATCATATATTTGCCCCAACTCCCTCTTCCAGGCACCTTCACCCACAGGCTCCTTGACCCAGTCGAAGTTGGCCGCCAAGGCCTCTCGTCGGTGGTTGGGTCATGGGTTCAGAGTTTAGGCTGGGTTGCTTACATCCAGGATGTGGGGGAGATATAAGGTTTGCGGCAAAGAAAATGGAAAATACAAAATATCTAATTTGGAATTCGATGAGGGGCTACTGTATGGATCAATCCTTCAAGCCTTGCTAACCAAGAGCAAGGGAAAGGTTGTGTCCCAGCCTGTCGGGTTTGGGGCCCAGGGTTTAGGGTTCTAGATTCCCCAGTACACGCTTATAACTTATAACCCCTTGGTAGTAAGTGAGCCCATTTTCCGAATGTTCAGCTCTAAGGAGGAGACCCCAACATAAAAACGGGGGAAATGTACTACCTAGGACTTATTTAGGCCTTTATTGGTTTGAAGGCTTAAAGGATTGGGGCCCCGCGCTTGGGTCTTCTTCGTGCCACCTTTATCGAGGGTCTAGGGCGTACCTCAGGGTGGCTTCTGAAACCTGCCGTTCCCAATATGCCCAAGCTGGAGAGCTTCAACGAAACCAGGGCAACGTGTAAAACCCTGACAGGATCCATAAACAGTATCCTTCTGTGGAGGGGCGCTTCTTGTGCCAGGGCGTTTCTGCAGCAAGAGGCCAGCGTCAAAGCAGTCAGGAAGCACTCGAGATTCTACGGGCCAAGCTCCCCAACGATAGCACTCTTGACAAAAAAGAACAAGAAAGAATCCTAGGAACTCTTTGGACCCCCACTACCTGGTACCCCGCTACTTTTCAGGCCATGGCCCATGGCCATATTCCTTCTGAATTTGTGTCTCCATGGGTAGTGGAGTGCCAGGTAGTGGGGGCCCTGCGAGTCCCTAGGAAAGAAGCCATTCCCCCTACCATGTAATTAAGTCCGAAGGCTGAACACCCCAAGCCCTGAACTCCTCTAAGCCCTGTGCCAAAGTGAGACTGACGGCTTCAACACGGAACACAAAACAAAACCCCTCTACCACTGGGTTGGCCCCTAAAACCCTTTGAAAAATATTAGTATATAGGGTCGATTATTTAAAGCCATTAGGGAAAATATTAAATATCCCAGGGGCCTACCCAGACCTCAAAATGCTGCCTGCTGCTCGGCACTCTGGACCTCGAGGGTATCGCAGGCGTCTTCGTGCAGGCTGAGCTCCTTTCCGCTCATGATTAAAGGGTATCCTTCCAGGAATTCTGTTTTTATTGGTCTAATGCTCATCAGCCCTGAAGGGGTTATGTAGGGGTAAGTGGGTCGTGGGGTAATCAGAAGACAAGTGAAGAATCCTTGCGCCAAACCAACAATGACCATGCCAACAGATCTAAACATGCGGAAATGGAATCGTGAACGTGGAAGCACAAAATTGAAACCCTAGACTATCTGGCGAGAAAAAAATGCATGCTACAAGGCTTGTCCCTGGCTATCAGCAGAGGATGGTTTTCAGACTTGCGCTGCTGCTGGCATTTTCCCAAGTGCAATCTGTCAGACGTGGTCTCCTTGGACGTTGACCGATTCTAATGTATAGTCCCCCGTGATTAGATAGAATCTGGCATTGGGTATATTATAATAAGATCCCCATATACCATACGTATATTCTGTCTACTTAAGGGGGACTATAGGTGACCGTAGGGCTTGCAAGGTGGCCAAGATGCCACCTCTGCCCAGTTGGGATCCGACTAAGTAGAAAATCTCGTAGCTCAGCTGGGTTCTTAATTTCTGGCTGGGGAGGTATCTAATTAAGGGAACACAAGGCTTCAGGGCTTCAACTACATGTCAGGGGCCACTTTTGCTGTGCAGGGGACGTCCCTGAAGCAGGTTTCCCTCTAAAATCTGCTCATCGATGACTGCTGCGCGGACGCGTGCACATGCGGAGCCGGCACAAGAATGGGCGCACAGGCGATGGTATTCATGTTAGCTTCGGATTAGTAAATGGGCTTTGTAATAGGGCGAACTTTG